ATCTGTCTCCTAATGTAACCCTACTTCTATAAGTTGGCGTTGCAAGCAACAAACCATCCGAGGAGGATCTTAAATTATATTTTCCTCATCTTTTAATTGACACAAGTTCTCTTACATACGTTGGCGCGAATCCATGGATGGCCTTAAATACAAATAGTCGAATCTTAAAACTAATGCGTTGCCTAACCGGTAGCCAGTGCAGCTCGTACAGCAACGGCGTTATGCGACAGTAGCGTGGCTCGCGACAAACTAGTCTTGCTGCGGCATTTAACACGCGCTGAACCTTATTCAGGTGAGAAGCTGGCAAGCCATATAAAAGACTATTATACTATATAATACTATATAATCTACGCGCGAGGTAGTAGTGCGTAACGTAAAAATTGACCTGAAAATGGATTGTCCTATAGCAGTAGGACCATCTTAGGATTGAAGAAATCAAAGGCTGAAATAGGATTCTTAGCCACGAGATTCGCGAGGCGGATCCCCCCTTCCAAACCCTACTATTTTATGTACCACTTCTGCCCGAACATACACGCTTCTTACAAGCATCCAATAGAAAATGGTATCCCTATCACCTATCTCTCATCAAAAATTCTATATATTTACAAAAACGTTTGTGGCCGGAAACCTCTTAAAATAATTAAACAGAAAAAAGGATAGGCCATTAGGACTCTTCAAGACTCTTTTACTGTAACCCATATGAAAGTTGCCATTACTCTATTCTACACAGGCTTCAACTCCCAAAATCTCATCCCCGTATCCCCTTATATAGGAAGTACCTTCCCTCCCTCTGCGGACGTTACAAACTATCAGTGCACTGCACTCTCAAAATGAGTAGTTGTGCCTGGCAAGACGAAAAGAGAGGTACTTGTCTTGGGTGATCACAAAACTTCGAGGGGCGTGGAGGACACTCCCATTAATGGCCTTTACGTTTTTGATGTTCCAGGTATATCAAAGGGTAGAGAATTAACGAGTTGAAGTATCTGGATATGAAAGTCTATCATTTAAGTATTCAAAAGGGCCTTTGATTACATTTCGAAAAGACCAAAAGCTACATTATTTCAAGTTCTTCGACGTTTCATGAAAAAGAGAAAACTTCTGTTCTAGCCACTTATTCTTTAAAGTAAGTATTAAAAAGGGCCATCATTTTCAGTGTAAGGTATACGCATACGGGAGGGGGTATACACGCCATTGCCAAAAAGGACACAACAACTCTAAACATTGTTGGTCCAACAGTTTTGGGAGTTGTTGCATCTGTTTGCACGTAGCTTAAAAGGGTAATGGGTTAAACCTCAGGCCAGAGTGTCCCTGTATAAAACTTTTGTCTATCCAAAAGTCTTGCTTTAAGTTAGGCTCCCACACAGAAATCCTTAGGGCTTAGCCACATGCTCCTTCCCTACAATGTTTGTTGGGGAGGATTGCATGACAAGCTAAAAGTATGTCTGCATAGGAGGCTAGCTATAATTGCAATACAATAAACAGGAAAAAAAAATTCAACCGGGTTTGTAGCGCTGGCTTAATATTGAGTTTACAGAACAGGATGGCAGAAAGAAGAGGACAGCAAATCGCTTGTGTGTGACAAACGTGACAGGGCTATTACTTACATGTTGTGTCATGATGCTCACTTAACATTAACTTTTTCTGGTCTTTGAAAGTGAACTTTGGCATAAGGTTATTTCGAACAACAAAACAAACACCTTGTCACACAAGGTTGCCGTCTTCTTTCCTATCCTGTCCTGTTGCATAAGTTCACTAATTTCAAAAAATGACAAGTCTTTCCAAAGACCATATAATAACGATTGCTACATTGAAACATTAATACTGCAAATAATAAATTGTAATTAAAAACTTAACTAGTGTTTCATGACAAAAGGGAAGACAAATTAAAAAGTAGTCTGTTACAAATGTAAAAGGCAAGAAAAGTGAAAAGGTACAGATTTTCACTGTAAGACATAGTTTGCTCAAGCAAGTAGTTATGCGACAAAATATATTTAAAACTTTTAATAAACACAGAAGCAAATACTAAACAACATTTGTGAAGAAAAAAACAAATACAGAAAATTGCAAAGAGGACTAAGATACTAGAAATCTAATGTTACGTGTAAACTATGGTTTTATGTAATGAAGTTACTGGCTTTGTCCACATATTGCCATTTGCTTTACAAAACAATTATATTATATACAGGTAATGAAATGGAAGGTGCTATCGAGACTGTCACAAAAAGCTATCTTCTTCTTTGGAAAACATTGGCTCCTCTGCCGCCACGAGTTGGTGCGCCTCTTCCTCTTGCAGCGGCTATAAATATAACACAAGAAATGAGCACAATGAGGCTTAAGTTTCGTTCAGTTTTTTTTTTCTAGCTTTTCCCTACATTTTTGGTGCCATTGCTGCATACAGAAAAGGCACCAAATCCTTATTCTTGCATTTGGATTCAAGCGCCTTTGATGTGTTTCTAATCTGCTTGGATTCAAATTGATGTTAAAGAAGCCTAGTTAAAGAGCTTAGTTAACAAGCTTTCCCACCCTTACTGTGCTTTTCAAAAACACACAAATTCTGAAGGGCAAAAGCCAGCTGCTGCATTTTTTGCTGCTGTCAATCATCTTGGCAAACCTCTTAGGAAACAGTAGTTTACTTCAATGGGTTCAAAAGGTCATTGCTTGTGATTTTTGATTGGTGGATTTGGATCCTTTTTGTGTTTCTGTGTTTCGAGGTTTGTTTCTTGTGATCAAAATTATATTTGTATGAGATTTCACCAATATAGTTTTTGGAGGAGTAACATAAGCAAGCAACCGCGAACTTGGATTTTAAATTGATTCATGCTTTTAACTGTCCAACTCATACTGCAGTCGTCAGTTTTGAATTAGTTATTGTCTGGTAATTACCATTTACTAAGCTGACACTTTCAGACAGATTCATTGGACCACTGAGTCTAATTTGATCAAACTTCTATTTTTCCTTGCCAAAGATCAAAATTTACTTGCCGTGCGACTGCCATTTTACATGGTCGCCTGAGCCACACGAAGGTCTGGCCGGTTGCAGTGGAAAGGAATTAACTTCCCTTCTAAACTAATTTTAAGACCCTGATATTGGTCCAGCCCCAGGGGAATTAAACCTGAGACCTCCCGGCCACTGTGCAGTCAAGCTCTCTATCAACTAAGCAAATCCTGCCTCAGTCTTAGGTCACTGTGGCATTCAGAGGCTAAACTTCAGAAATACCTACAGGACAATGGGAGTGTGGGAGTGTGAATTGAAAACACACCATTTGCTTAATCACTGCACGACTACATCAGAAGTTGATTGACATCGCTTCGAGGTGGCTAGGTATTCTGAGGTTGCTCCCAACTAATGCTATTCCCCTTACAAAATGAAGTTCGATTTAATTTGAAGTAATGGTCTCTTTGATGTGAAGCAAACACAAAAGCGGTAATGAATTGTTAGTTGACTGTCACTATTATAATATGGAACACGAGAGTCCTATCGACTAAACGGAGATGGTCGACGAGGTGACGGAGGTCTTGGGAAAACACAGTAAAAGAACTTGTACCCTCGTAAATTCAACATGTCCGGGAGAATCAAAAAGCGGATCTTGCTTCCTCGAATGAACACTTGTTCTAGTTGTGACACTCGGCCATCTCTTGCAGTTACCGTAGTGTTAGACATCTGACAATTCATGTTGTCTTCAGCCTCAACAAGCTTTCCTCGGTACACTTCACCGGTCATAGTTTCAAGCGTGACAATATGTCCTTCAGCCTCGTGTAAAATTTTTATAGGAACCCCTATCGACATTTTTGAAACCAATAAATGTTCTTGATTCTTCAAAAGAACCTCTTGGCAAAGAAAAAGCTTTTTAAAAGCTCAGATGGATCGGATTTTACAACGCTTTCCAGCCAACCACCTCGCTTGTCGAAGGGACGATTTGAAACGTACCAACCGAAGAAAACTGAGTACGAATATGCTTAGCGACCGAGCCTTCTAGTTAATTTCTTCACAACTTTTTCCTCATCGATTTCATTTTCTAGAAAAAAGAGGAAAGAAGGAATGAGGTGAAATCGTACTTATATTTCAAAATTTTGTTCCTATATGAGGCAATGGAAACCAATTCACTTTTGGTTAATCAAGAGATCACGATCACGGAGTGACAAGAAGGAACACGGCAAGTGAAAATCGTAAAACATGACAATAATTTCAAAGACCTTCAAACGAAAGATTAGAGGCAAAAAAGTCAAGGTGGGTATTGGTAAAATTATATTGCACACATATCCATCGAGCATATAAAACATCGAGTATTATTAACGCTGATGATGCCGAACGCGACGTCGATCCCCCTGGTGATGATGACTCTTCGCACGAATGTCATAGTAGGGGTGGATTGACGTCACGTTTGTTTGTAAACAACAAGTTCGAAACTGGATCAACCCGAATGGGTTCCCGCTCTGCCGGAAAAAAGGACATTAATATTTGCTTGGTTCATTCTGTTATGTCGTCTTATCGTACACGACTTCCCAGAACAGTTAGAAATTTATTTAAGACGGTTTCTCAATGAAATGTCTCGTCGACAGATCGAACTGCCGCATGTTCGACAGAGATCAGATTGGGACTGCGGCCTTGCGTGTTCTCTGATGGTGTTACAGAAACTCCTTGGCAATAAGTTCGACATCCTGGAATACGAAGGGATTTGTACGGCCAAAAACTTTGGAACTAGTGTTTGGACTATAGACATAGCCAATATATTCACAGAGTATAAAGCGGAGTACGTGTTCTATACATCGACACTAGGTGTGGATCCGAGCTATGGAGACAACTCATTTTACAAAGGAACGTTCAACATGGACGAAATGAGGGTCAATAGCTTGTTTAAAATGGCGCCGAATTTGGGGCTTAGAGTAGAAAAACGGTGAGTGTTGTAGGAATAATTATAACCGTAAAAGATTTTTTTAAGATGGTTTTATCGGGCTGACATAACAACTCTATTTTTTGGCGCGTGAATTACGGTAACTATAATTAATGATGCCTGTACGTGCGTGTCGTGTTGACTGTTCAGCTGATGTGTCTTGGTGGGTTCGTTTTTATACAGCATTTGTGTTCACCCGTGGCATTTACACGCTGGACGTTTTAGTGTTTTTAAACATCAATAGACGTTATTAGCTAAATTAAAAAGTAAAAAACTTTTAACGAGTGAATGCGGCGGGGCCAACGAATCTACCCTTTGTTGAGATGTACATTTCATTCTATTGTAATAAACACACTAAAGCTTTATTACAATATCTGGAATCTTAAACACTCGTGCATGAAATTCTGTTTCAATTCAGGAGGTAAACATAGTTTTGATTAAGAAACTCACGCGGGACAAGGCTCTCCTTCCAGGGTAAAGCTTTGTTGAATGTTTTTGCTGAAAGACGTATCCATGAAGTGAAGGGGAGCATTCCAGGGTCAAAGAGGAGTACTTAACTGAGGTCATATTATATGGCCCTGCTATTAAACACATGAACAGCACTGGTAATGAAGTAATAAGATGGGCTCTCTCGTGTTTAAGATACAGGTAGCTTTTATCAGTATACAATTGGAAATGTAATAATTTGCTTAGTCATGGTTTATGCACATGTATAAGAATAACACTGGTATCTGATTGCATGTTTTTATAGGTTGGGGGTGTGGTTGGGGGTGTGACATGGTAAGGGTTATAACAAGCAGTGACAGGTTGATGAAATCTTTCATGTCCAAACCGTTAAGAGGTCACAAGTATCATCCGCCTTCCCAAAATATCAAAAATACTCAATATTAACAATACATTTGATCATATTTTTATGTTAATTTGCCCAATATAGATGATAAGCTTTATTACATGGATATACTTGCATCAGTAAATACAGATACAAACAGTTGAAAGTCATGAAGATGATTTGTAGGACAGTTGGGGATCCATATAAGACAAATTGGAGTGAAAAAGCTATACCGTATTTTAGTATTTAGAGCTGTAATTAAGTTTCAAAGCAGCCCATAGCAAAATATATTTAAGAATCACCTGTAATGTCACCTTTTAAGTTTTCCACTTTGATCACCCCTAACATCCAGGGAGCTCAGCAGTGTGTAACAAGTTTTACATTTTATGGCCTTAAATGACAGCTCCGAGTATTTATAGTTTTATTTCAACAAATGACTTTTTTTCAGTTCCTTATGTTTTAACTTTTTCCTCATACAAATGATTATCTGGTATTTTTCAGGAGAATTTCATTGGAGGAAATTATATCGAGGTTAATGAAGGGTTATGTTGCTATAGTCCTGGTCAACTCAAATGCGTTGATCTGCAACTGGTGTGAGATGTTTTCACCGAACAAACTGCGGATGCTCAATTGTGTGTGTCCATCAACTCAAAATGAGTACTGTGGACACTACATTGTGCTGTGTGGATTTGACGCAGACAAAAGACATATCTATTACAAGAATCCATCCTTTAATGATGATCTTTGTTGTGCAAAGTTTGATATGTTTGAGTTAGCAAGACACAGTTATGGAACTGATGATGACATCATATTTATTAAATTGAATGAACCTGAAATGAGCATGAAAGAGACTTTTATTGATATCAGCAACAAGACATGACAGGGACAACATTTTGATATTGGAATAGTATTACCTTGTTATTTTATGGGTAATCTTAAACCTGAATTTTGGTTGTGAGATCCACCTTAACTGCATTGAGTTGTTAATGTGCGTTAATTCCTTGTCAATATTTGTAGCATATGTACTTAATGGGAATTTATTGTTTAAAGCTAGTAAAATAATGTATTATGTAATGATAATGATAATGATAAATACATAATAATAATAGTAAATAAATAAGTAAATTATTGATGATGATGATGAACACTAATATTACTATTGTTGTAATTTGTTATTAAGTGGAGCAGCAAGGCGCATTTCACGGATTCATTGCTGCTCCCACTTAATAACAAGTTACAACAATAGTAATTAATTAGTTAATAAGAATTTTCACGGATGTCCTGCCAGATGTATATGTGTGATGCCAGCCGAGAATAAATAGGTCAGTAGTTAGCAAGTTAGGACATCCCTTTTATAATAAAATTTAAGATTGATCAGTCACTAGGTGTGACACCATACTCTGGTTTGAAGTGAAAATAAAGGTGTAATTCATTATTTACAAATAAATTTGTGGGGTTTGTTACACTGTGATTCACATCATCCATTGGTGCACAAACTAATATGATTCTAAGTGTTTCATAAAATTATTTTTCCAACAAATAAGATTATGGTGAAAGAAAATTAAGTTATGTTCAGGAATTTAAAAAACATGCACATAGTTGGCAAAAGTGTAGTTTGGTTATGATTTTTTTGTAGTGAAAAGACATGAACTTTGTTTGGAAAGGGTTGCAGATTAGTATGTTTTTACCCTCCAAATAATTTGCAGTCTTTGGGGTTTGGAAACTATGAGAGGGAAACACCTTGGCTTAGGATCAACCATGGAAAAATTGAACCAAGAAAGAGAAGCAAGAACAAACTCAAATTCCCAAATGGGAGGGGAAAATCCCAGGAAAAAATCTATTCCTACTGCATCGATAGAATGTCATTATTTTATAGTTGTTTATACCCTCCCTCTCAAGCTAAAGTTAGTCCCTGCCATTCTTCAGTCATATTCTTTAACTCTCTATAAGGTGGACACCTCCCTAAAACAGACAGAACCTAGAGTTGGTCCCATTCATTCTTCAGTCATTTTGACTCTCTATAAGGCACACACCTCCCTAAAACAGACACCTAGAGTTGGTCCCTGCTGTTCTCCAGTCAATTTCTTTGACTCTCTATAAGGCGAACACCTCCTTAAATGGTCCCCATCGTTCTTTAGTTATTTTCTTTGACTATAAGGCAAACACCTCCCATAAATGGACACCTAGAGTTGGTCCCTGCTGTTCTTCAGTTATTTTCTTTGACTCTGTATGAGATGGACACCTCCCTAACACAGACACCTGGAGTTGGTCTCCGCCATTTTTCAGGCATTTTCTTTAACTCTCTGAGATGGACACCTCCCTAAAATGGACACCTAGAGTTGGTCCCTGCTGTTCTTCAGTTATTTTCTTTGACTCTCTGTAAGGTGAACACTTTCCTAAAACTATAAGGTGGACACCTCCCTAAAATGGACACCTAGAGTTAGTCCCTGTTGTTCTTCAGTCATTTTCTTTAACTCTGTATGAGATGGACACCTCCCTAACACAGACACCTGGAGTTGGTCTCCGCCATTTTTCAGTCATTTTCTTTAACTCTCTGAGATGGACACCTCCCTAAAATGGACACCTAGAGTTGGTCTCGGCCGTTTTTCAGCCATTTTCTTTGACTATCTATGAGACGGACCCCTCCCTAAAATGGATACCTGGAGTTGGTCTCTGCCATTTTTCAGCCATTTTTGTTGACTGTAAGACAGAAACCTCTCTAAGATAGACACTTGTACTGGTCCCAACACTGTCTAATAGAGAACTGACTGTAAACAAAACAAGTAAAGGGTACAGTTTTCAAGACAGTTATTTAGATTAGGACAGGATCTGGGAATTGGCAAAAACAAAATGGTTTACAATAATGTTATCATATTGAGAGCTTATTTTAAGAGTTCACTGAAACTTGGATAAGGTATAGGCTATAGGATAAAAGCTTAAGTCTTTTAGGAGAAGGTTCAGTAGCTACAGGCTAGCAGTGATATTAAAGCTTAGCTTATGTAAAATTGTATTATTTTATGATTCAAGGTTCCCTTATTCACAGAGGCCTTTATGTGTCAGTGGAAGGTGTGAGAAAGGAAACAGGGTATGCAGCAGGTGATGGGAAGGAGAAAGAGAATCCTTGCACACTACATGTTTTTTTGGTGACTTTTTTATTATTTCTGGGAGGCTCTGTGGAGGAGGGAGGATCAAGGTGACAATCTAACACTAATGTTTGTCAATATGTTGCTTGGATTAGTGACTTGAGCATTTTTATTCACTAAAACCAGTAGTTACCATGTATCCTCTGTTAGCTTAAGTCATAAATACTGAATGCCAAGAGACTACCAAACTCATAGATCATTCACAATCATAAATTCACCTCTATCAGTCGTTCTGTTATAACATTTTTTCTCAGGCCTTAATGAACGCTGAAGTTCTTCACATTATTTTCATTTATCCTTACTTCATGGTAATCTTGTCCTAAAGACCAAAAATGATCTTTACAGCAACTTTCTTTTAATTTACACAACACACTCCACAGATAGCAGAATTTGTTACAAGCATTACAACCATCAAAGGCAAAGCTCTAAAGCTTTGCATGAGGATTATCCAGTAAATCATATGCTGGAAGGGTGAGAAACTCTACAAACTCTTCAGAAAGAACCATCTTGTCCATAAGTTGGGATGCTTGCCCAAGGCGACCTTTTGAAGGTCCTCCGAGCTTATCAAGCTCTTCCTTGTGTATTGCTTTGTATAGCTCAGAAGTGACTGGGCGGCCATCCTCAAGTCGCACACTGTGCCTCAACCACTGCCACAGTTGAGCTCGGGAAATTTCTGCAGTGGCAGCATCTTCCATTAAATTGTGAATGGCCACTGCTCCAACACCCTTTAAAGGAAATGAAACAGTTATCAGCATCCTATAAATACAGTAGAAGCTCTCCTAACGGACATTCTTGTAAGTGGACAGCTCTACTTATGGCCGCCTTTACAAGACCCTTTTTTTTCAACTCCCTTACCTTGTGAAGTGCCGATATGTGGTCTACAGAGGACAGCACACAGGAGTGAGAAAGTGATGCAATATTAAAATATTTTCATAATAATATTGTTGTCTAGTTTAAGTTGTGATTTCCAGTGCACTTAAAAAATTGTCAAGTTCATAATTCATCTATTTTTATTATGGAAGTGTTAGGACCAGACAATGTCAGAATAAGTCAAATTACCGAGAGCCAGCTGTTAAGATATTGCAACGCAACTTCAATATTGACTCTTAGGCCTTCTTCAGTGATCTTTCCACCTGGCACAGAGATAGCCAAGATTTCTTCAACCTTGATGTTCACCTCTTCACGCAAACGGTGCTTTTGATGGCAAGCATTTTGTAAACCCTGCAATTACAATAAACAACTATTAATTAAAATAAACAAGTACCANTAAGTGGACAGCTCTACTTATGGCCGCCTTTACAAGACCCTTTTTTTTCAACTCCCTTACCTTGTGAAGTGCCGATATGTGGTCTACAGAGGACAGCACACAGGAGTGAGAAAGTGATGCAATATTAAAATATTTTCATAATAATATTGTTGTCTAGTTTAAGTTGTGATTTCCAGTGCACTTAAAAAATTGTCAAGTTCATAATTCATCTATTTTTATTATGGAAGTGTTAGGACCAGACAATGTCAGAATAAGTCAAATTACCGAGAGCCAGCTGTTAAGATATTGCAACGCAACTTCAATATTGACTCTTAAGCCTTCTTCAGTGATCTTTCCACCTGGCACAGAGATAGCCAAGATTTCTTCAACCTTGATGTTCACCTCTTCACGCAAACGGTGCTTTTGATGGCAAGCATTTTGTAAACCCTGCAATTACAATAAACAACTATTAATTAAAATAAACAAGTACCAATAATTAAAAAATGTACAGCAAGATTCATGCAGTAAAGTGATGTAAAACATTATCGACAGTCAAACCTGCACAAAATAGCCTCATGCCCAATTTAAGCACAATGTGGTTTCATTGTGCGGATAAAGTCACCTAGATTACTTCAGTGTCTGCTTTGTAGGTCTTTGTGGCAATGTGCTATCACTTTTTTGTAGGTGTTAAATTTTGCCCTGGCATCCCTATCATTTCCATTACTATTGTATTTTTACATATATCACGGTGATATAGCTGTTACAGGTCAAAATAAAATTCAGGTTAAAATTTTTTAAACTAGGAATTAAGACTAGAAAACAAAGAAAATTGAGAATCGACCTAGCTGGTTAAAAAATTTTAACGTGAATTTAATTATTTTTGACCTGCCACATAGCCATTGTGTAGAGGTTCAGGGTTGTCAGAAAGTTTTGAAGTAGACGGCTAAGTTGTCAAAGTAAGCGGCAAGTCCAGGGATATTATATTTAAAAAACGCCATCCGTAAAGAAATGCCAAGCAGAGTAGCCGCCTTTTACTAACCAAGAAGGTGGTGATTTTTGCTGGCAGCCGGCTAATTTTGACAACCCTCGGTCCGGTTCCTGAAAGTCTGATTAGCGCTAACCCAGGATTAAAATTTTGTTCCACTTTTTGTATTTATATGTATTGCTTAGAGTAACATTTTTATGTTATCATTACTGTATCTCAGAGTGCAGGCTCAACAGTATTTTGTAAGCTTGAGTTACATGGTCATAGACAAGAAAACCGTGTTTAAAATTTGGTTTAATCTTGGGTTAAACGTAACCTTCTTTCGAGGAACCGGACCCTGGAGATTAGCCTGGCCAGTATTCACAATGGAAAAAGATTCTGAATGTTACCATTTGAAGAGGTGGCTGTCATATGGAGGTCTCAATAACTGTAATATAATATGGGCTTGGGCCCTGACAAAATTCTGTAGTTGTTTAGTAGAGGTAACTCAGTTGAGTGGAGATGGCTATCAGTGAGGATTTAAATATCCAAAAAACAAACTTCCTCATGCCGAATAGGCACAACAGCCATCTTCACGTTGTCATCCAAGCCAGGTAAAGATCTAGGCATTCGCAGGGCAAAAACAGTATCTTCATTTCTCAGTAGCTTATAGCTCTGGCCCGGGGATCGGACCTGAATGTCCCACCCCGCCCTGCAGTAAAGTGCTCTACTGACTGAGCTTTTGTTGCCTTGCCATAGTGTATGTACACATTCAAATAATAATTATTGCTGATTTATATAGAGTTATGTTACTTGCTCTTTGAGTGTTAACAAATCGTGATCACAAAATAACAAAAGTAAAGCGAGCACTCTGATCCGTCAATAATATTACCTATTTACTATTTGCCCATGGGTGAATGGTGAAAAAAGCTAGCGCACATTCAAAGCTGTAAGCATCACCTTCTATGGCCACTCTATTGTTTTCCACTTAGTCTCCAAAGGTTTTTGTTTTGATACTGAAAGAAAGTTCTATATGTAAAAGGTTTTGTAATCCACATTGAGATGGGGGAATCAATTCAGCAAAACGATTTTTTTGAAAGATAAGAATTTACAATAAATGATTCGTACATGCCATAGTGTGAGCAGATGACAGCACTCATGTTATTCCCCTGCTATCTGTGAGTAAAATTAAAAGTTGTTCTCTTTTGATTATGTTATAAAACAAAATGGTAAACAGCTCAAAGTGCACTTTTGAGTTATAGTTGCACTTGGGAGGACTGCTAATCACTTAAGAAGCTAGAGTCACACTCAGCTATTGCCTCAAGTAACTCTTGCGCTTTTTTTCATGCTTAGTAACCTCTTGCCTGCAACTATAACTCAATAGCTGAGCCACTTATCATTTGTTAATTTCTTTCTCACCTTCATAAAAATGCCTTTTGCAAAAGGTACAAGATCAGGGTGAGCAACCCAAGTTCCGTCAAAGCCATCAGCTACTTCTCGTTCCTTGTCTTGGCGAACCTTTTCAAAGGCCACCTTATTAACATTCTCATCCTTTCGACTTGGGATGAAAGCAGCCATTCCACCCATTGCATGAGCACCATGTTGGTGACAAACTTGGACAAGGCGTTCAGTGTATGCTTTCATGAATGGCACAGTCATTGTTATCTGAAAAAAAATTGAGATATTACTGCTAAGTGTAAACAAAAGGCAAAGGTTTCTTTTCTGAACTCTCGCTGAACCACCAATCATCTTTTACAGCTCAGTTTTCTTGTCAGGTATAAAATGAAAAACAGCTAATCATGTGATCTCTTCAGATGAAAGTTTTTCATTCATTTTGACTTGCTTTGGCATGATACTGTCGGTTTTTACCTTATAAATAACTGTACAGTAAAATATATAAAATTTGGAGTTTATACATCTAGCACAAAATAGGACTGTGTGGAGTCCAACTCAGTCTGTAATCATATGCATGATAAAGGAGTCCAATTTCTTGAATCACAAGCATGATTACCAACCGAATTGGATGACAAAAACTTCTGGTAATCATAACTATAACAAAATTTGAGATATCTTAAACTTCTAAAACTAAAACACAGGATATTCAAAGAGTTTTTGCTAAAAGTGAAGAATATACTCATTCAAGTGCACACTTTCAATGGCACATACATTTACAGTCCTATTACTTGGGCATGGTGCTGGGTGTAGAGGTTCAGGGTTGTCAGAAAGTTTTGAAGCAGATGCCTAAGTTGTCAAAGTAAGTGGCCAGTCCAGGGATATTTTATCTAAAAAATGCCATCTGTAAAGAAATGTGAAACAGAGTGGCCGGCTGATACTAACCAAGTGGGTGGCGATTTTTGCTGGCAGCCAGCTACTTTTGACCACTCTGGGGGTGTCCTATTACACTCTCCTATATGCCACTTGCACACCTCTTATATTGCACCTTACTTGCCCCCCAAAATTTTGCATAGCCTTTGATTTTCATTTCTCCTGGGTATTAACAGCCGTCCCAAGAGAACTTAAAGGCAACGGTTATGTCAATTTTTTTTTTTTGGGGGGGGGAGGGAACAAATAAGGTGCATCATGGGAGATGTGCAAGTGGCATATTGATACTGACATCAGGGCAACTGACAGCCAATCAGGTGAGAGATGTTTTTATAGTTATGATAAAGAACTAAACCCATCTTTCTTACCATCTTACGGTCTGGCAAAACACAGTCAGGTCTCCTTGACAATCTCTTGATTGCAGAGAATATGTAATCCCACCTCCCTGCATTCATACCACAGCAGTGATCTTTTATCTCATAAAGCATTTCTTCCATGTTCACTGCAGCCAGCAAGGTTTCCACCATCACAGTTGCACGGATTGTTCCTAACATGCAACAACCAGGACAGGATCAATAATTTAACAAGAATGTGTGAAAATCTTTGAACTTTGGTACGGTATATTAAAGAGAAACTGTCTTAATTAAACAACCCAAAGAGTCCTTGGTGATTCTATCTCAAACTCATCTGATTCCTTCTTTAAATTAAGCATGCCATTAAAAGCTGAATTTCACAAGAGAATCAAATGATAGTCATAATAATATTAGTTACACCGCGATTAGATGCACTGATAACTGACTTTCACCCTATAGTACCAACATTTGGGTCCTTATTAACAGCAGGGACTTACCTTGAGGCACTTTCATGTAATCTTGTGCAGCTCTAAAAACATCATTCCACAGTCTGGTTTCCAAGTGGGTCTCCATTTTGGGAAGGTAGTAGTATGGAGCAGAGCCATTTGCAACCCTTATATGGACATTATGAAAAAAGTAAAGCCCAAAGTCTACCAGTGCTCCTGACATAGGTTCTCCATCGCAGAGGATGTGCTTCTCATCAAGATGCCAACCGCGTGTACGTACCAACAGACAGGCTGTCTTGTCCTTTAAACGGCGCTCTGATCCTAGATTACAGATGAAATATATAATATTAAGCAAACAATCAATTACTAGGAATGCCTTAAAGATGTTTAACATCTCCAAGGTTTTTAATATTATCTATCAAAGTTCACTTTTAATGATATCTTAAAAACTGAATATTGATGATTATCATAGAGAATTTTGTAAGGATCAGATAGACTTTAAAGGTTAAGAAAATGGTTAGTAATTAAACACATCTTCACCTGTCAGTTTTTACTTGTGACAACAGTCCAATCTGACTTAAAAACATGTTAGGGCAGGGGAGGTATTCATCTCATAGAGTTGAATTTTGAAAGAAAATCAACTGGTAGAAAAATGTTCTTTCATCGTGACCTTATCCTCTAACAAGTGAACATAGAGGAATTTGTCAGAAGCTGCGTCATGGGGCCTTTGACAGGCACAGCTAGAATACTCTGCTTTATTTAAATATATTCACTTACCATTTGGATTAGTGAAACTTATTGTCTTCCTGTTGGCATCCAAGAGGTTCATTTGCCCCTCGATAATATTCTTCCAAGATGGAGTAAGTGAATCCTCAAAATCAGCCATATACATGTCAGCACCANGACTTTAAAGGTTAAGAAAATGGTTAGTAATTAAACACATCTTCACCTGTCAGTTTTTACTTGTGACAACAGTCCAATCTGACTTAAAAACATGTTAGGGCAGGGGAGGTATTCATCTCATAGAGTTGAATTTTGAAAGAAAATCAACTGGTAGAAAAATGTTCTTTCATCGTGACCTTATCCTCTAACAAGTGAACATAGAGGAATTTGTCAGAAGCTGCGTCATGGGGCCTTTGACAGGCACAGCTAGAATACTCTGCTTTATTTAAATATATTCACTTACCATTTGGATTAGTGAAACTTATTGTCTTCCTGTTGGCATCCAAGAGGTTCATTTGCCCCTCGATAATATTCTTCCAAGATGGAGTAAGTGAATCCTCAAAATCAGCCATATACATGTCAGCACCACTGTTCAAAGCATTAATGACCATTTTACGGTCAGTTGGCCCAGTGATCTCTACATGTCGCATTTGCAAATCATGAGGAACAGCTGCTACTTTCCAATTTTTCTCGTGGTGAGCTTCAGGATATTTGATTGGACTACCAGCATTGATTGCTTCTTGAATTTCCATGCGCTTCTTGAGCAACTTTTTTCGTTGGTAGTTGAAACTCCGATGGAGATCAGCCAAAAACTCCAGGGCTTCATAGGACAAAATCTGAGTGTAATCTTGTTTGACTTCACCAGTGATTTCAATTCCTGTGAAAGATAAAATGAAAAGGTAAAATAAGTCATTATTTTCCAACTTATGGCCAGAATTTCAAACAACAGTTCTTCTAAGGGGACCGATAACCGTTCACTGTAAAGACAATTTTTAACATTGATAAAAGACACAAGTAAGGAACTCTTGGTTTTACTACCAGTAATATGGAGTACTTAGGAAACTATAAGAGTTCATGATGCCGCTTTTCCACACATTTTAAGGAGGGAAAGCAGGGTTCTAGCTAGGAATTATCATTTGGGGGAGATAAGTCCCCAGTGGCCAAAGGCCACAAGCTTCCTAGGGGGGTCTGGAAGCATGCTTCCCCCCCGGGAAATTTCTTGAAATGAACATGCGCTGAGATGCAATCTGGTGCATTTTGAGACACAATTCTAGGAAATGTTACAGTGTGTGCACTGAACTCGTCCCATCTGGATGATTTTTCCATAATAGTTACTTATACACTGTAATGACATTTTTTAGGGAGAAGTTTCTACAACTTGAATACCCTAGACAGAACCCTGGAAAGGATACACTTATGAGGCTCAAGTTGTTTGAATTAAGATTAGATATCATTTGATAATAATAATTGAGAATGAAATATCAATATCATCAGGAATCCATCTGTACGAAATATTAGGGACCCACCTCTTGGGCACCTCATTCTTGATTGGCTTGTTTCTGTTCTTTCACACTGCAGTAACAGGAAATCAAAGATTGCCCACTAAGTATTCATTTGTGAGATTAAAGGAACAAAATATATTTGTTATTATTTATATTATAATTATCATTTTATTGTAGGTAGGGCAAATTTGACAAAAGATCAAAGCATTTCTCCTTTGGTAATCTTTTCATTACCTCTCACGACAATTTCTCTTGATGATGTATGGATATTGAGAAGAGAACTTAGAACTTAGTCACTTTTAGGACATAAAAATAATTGGCTGAATATTCTTAAGTTTAGCCTTGAAGAAATACAGTTAATATTGTATCAGTTATAAAGCAAGTATATAAGCTTATTATAAGATAACTAAGATAGTACGCACATTCTGATTGGTTAAAAACCTATGGTTTATTATGCTGGTAAACTAATAGTAAACTTAAAGTTATTTTATAAAAGCAAGACCACACTTTCTAAGGGTTTACTGGTATAATAACCCACTTGGGATGTTGGGAGAACACTCGAAAAGCTTGTAAATCACTGGCCTTTGGCTTGTTATTTACAAGCTTTTCTCGTGTTCTCCCAACATCTCGCATGGGTTATCATGCCGGCAAACCCATAGAAAGTGTGGTCTATTGCTTAATTAGCTAAATGACATCAATCTGTTTGTTTTGAGAAGGGGGCTGGGCAATCAATACCACTCAAGTTTAATCTAAAGATTAGATGATGTGGCAAAAAAATAATGAAAAACGGGAAAACTTGAAATAATCATGACTAAGATGTTTTGTCCACCCAGGCCTCGGCAGACAGGAGGGTTGTGCAAACCCGCCAAGACAAAATGTGTTCGTGACTCTCTACGTGTATTTTTGCTCGTAAATGTAGATTCATTACATTGGGTACTTTAGAAAGGGTTCACAAGAGCCGTTATCATTGAAGAAAACAGCAATGTAGTAAATAACTCGTAAAAAAGCTGAAAGAATCTACTGCAAAGGACAAGACTGTTATCTTTTCAACTAAATCTTGAATCAAAGCTCTCAAAATGCTGCAAAATGAGATTTCATGACACGTGACAGTTTGACACGTTGAACAACAAAGTTAAGGTAAAATAAGAGACAAAAAACGAGAAATTAAATTTTGAACACATTATTTTCTATTCACATATACTTACAGACTGATCCCACGCTCTACGAAGGAGAAAACTAGCGTTTAATCCCAGATTTAGAACGACTTTTGGTTCTTTCTGCAAGAGTGACCAACTTCGCCTCGTTCTTGTGCATTGGTGCAAAGTCCACCGGAAACCGCAGTGGGCGTGATGAAGGGCATGACGAAGGTATGTCAATACCTGACTAGGGGAGGGTAAGGGGGTGTTGTCGAGGAGTGTACTTCAGGAATCAAGAAAGTGTACCTCAATTTCTTCTTCAAAAGTTTCAGTGTGTAGACACTTGTTTTAATCCAAAAACCAACAAGTTATACTAATAAAAAAAGAGATTGAATTTAACACCACCCGTTGTCAATGGAAACCAAATAATCGTCACCTCTTCACGCTACTGCATCAGATCTCTCCCACTATGATCTTTATTCCTTTATTCACCAAATGGTTAGCCTGCGAACAGCAGACGCATTTCCGGTCGTCGCTTCTCTCCCTCCGAAAAAATTTATCTATTTTTCGGAGGGAGAGAAGCGACGACCGGAAATGCGTCTGCTGTTCGCAGGCTACCAAATGGTCTATTGCTCAATAAAATTCTATTTCTTTAGAACTGATAAAAAACACCTTCGAATATGAAGTAACATAACTGTGCATGATTCTACAGAAGCCATAATTTTCATAATTTTCGTGATTTTTCGTTTCGCAAGATTTGGCAGAGTTTTAACCATGTACCTGAGGGGTTTCCAAATAAGACTGTGTCCTTTAGCCAATGAAAATGCTCGATATAACAACGACAACCCTCTTTCCACCAATGAAAACGTCGCCTTTATAGGCGTTCAAAGTCCACAGGCATAAATTTACAAAATTCTCTAAAAGTTCCTTAAATTTCTACTCGTAGTATTTTTACTGCGAAGCTGTTTGGTAGGACGGTTGTGCCAAAGTTGTAAGAGCCAAGTTTCCAAAACTTCTCGGCCTCCTATTCGATTCATAACCAAAATGTTTTCCAAACAACAGCGATACGAAGGAATCAAGAGGAATTATTGCCAAGCAGATGTGGAGAGGTTGAGAGGCTCGCTAAAAATCGAGCACACGCTAGCGAGGCGAGGCTCGATAAAACTTTGGAACTACTTGACTCGTGGAGGAAACTCTTACATCAACGCTTTGGGAGCGCTTACCGGTAAGACTGATTGCGATAAATGAATTCTGATGCAGTATCAGCAGTAAATCTTATTTTGACACAGGGTCCGAGTTTTCCACGTGAAAGACACTCTTTTCCCTAATATGGTGAAAGCTACTACAAGGCGCGCGATTCGGTTGGGTTTTCCCGCGAATCTCCATAGCGTGCTCGAAATTGACAATTTAAATGCCTTTGTTAATTTCTGATATATTTTTCGAATTCAGCGGATAAAATTTGAGAAGAAAGGTATTTTAAGTCTTAAAAGGCCACGTCAACCAAGCAAAAATCGAATGACGTGGAAAACTTCACGGTCATTGATTGAACTTTGGACCTAGAGGGCGAAAAGCCGCTTGAGACACAAAATATAACATTTCAATTTTCCACTTTATTTCTTCAACGCAATATCTCTTATTTTAAAACTGAAACCGCAATCCAAAGGTCACCTTTACTAACGCTTTCGGCTCAAAATTTTTAATTTAATTTTGTCATGACACAGCAGAAACGCGCCTATGATATAAGTGTGACTTGACTTGTTTCTCGCGTGTACGTTTCACTAAGTACATTTTTTTCTAAAATGTGGTAGTCTACATAGATTAGATTTTTTTGGGTAATGTATAATCTTCGGACTTGTTTGAAACAGGAGATAGAAAAATTAATAAATAAATGCAAAAAATAATAAATGGGAAGATGATCCATTTGTTTTATTGACATTTTTCCCCTACTTAATTTATGATTAAACAAAACTGTGATTTCAGGCGGCCAGGCAGTGCAGATGGCTAAAGCAGGTTTAAAAGCTATTTACCTTAGTGGCTGGCAAGTTGCTGGTGATAACAATTTAGCTGCACAGACCTATCCAGACCAGAGCTTGTACCCTTCTAATTCAGCACCAAAACTGGTGGAACGCATCAACAATGCATTCATTAGGGCTGACCAGATTGCGCATATGGAAGGATCAGAGAGGCACATTGATTACTTTCTCCCTATTGTTGCTGATTGTGAAGCTGGATTTGGGGGACCACTGAATGCATTTGAATTAACAAAGTCTATGGTAATGAGGATTTCTTCACCACTTACAGTCAAACCAAGTCAAGCGTACCCCCCAAGATTCGATCAGTGAATTGATTATTTGAAAAATGAATCCGTTAGTCGTTCCCTTAACTCGTGTCAAATTCAAAGCGGCATTTCTGCATGCGTAATGAGTGATGAATATTTTACGAGAACTTCTCTGTATTTGGTCAGATTGAAAATCTTTGAATGGATTAAGCCTCTTAGAAGACATTTACATCAATTTCAGGAAAATGGAGCTGGTAGAAATTTCATAACTGCGTCGCGTGTGAATTCACGGCTCATTACACATACAAGAATGCAGAGATCAATCTGAAATCTACACCTAGCAACGGATTCAACTTTTGAATAATAAATTCATTAATGGATTCTTGGGGGGTACGCTTGACCTGGTTTGACTGTAAATATTCATGTCACACTGAAAATATGTGCCAAAAGATCTTGCCAATAATAAATTATGATTGTTGGTGAAAAAATACATGAGGCCCTGGCTTTGTTCAAACGTTGGATAGTGCTACCCACTGGATAAGTAACCATCCAGCAGATAAGTATTGGGAAAACCAATAATCCACTAAATTGAGATTTATCTAGTTAATAATGTTAGTCCACATCTTGAACAACTGGGCTGGCATGATGAGGTCCTCATGGTGAATCATTAGAGTCAGCATTATTAATGTAGCTGGGCAGTAAAAACGTTCATCGTTTAGTGTGAAATGAAGATCTTTTTCGGGTCATCTAGTCATTAGGGTAGATCCTGAATAATGAGCACTTATTATTATTAAATAATGGATTACATCTTGGATGTTTTAATCTAATGTAAACCAAAGACTTGCAAAGATAATAAAAAGCTACAAAGTATGATAAAAAATAATATCAACTGCAACTTTAGAAACTTTGAAAGGAAAATGATCTTTCACAATGCATCACAGATTCATCAATAACACAGAGAATGCAACTTTAGTGTTGTGTTGCTTTTCAAATAGTAGACTTACTATTTTATTTTTTCACTGAGAAATCAATAGCATAGGTAAAAGTTCCAATTTATACTGTAGCAAAAAAAAGGTGACACGTTTTCAAGTGAAGGTTACTGTTTTAGAGTGGTTATCATTATTTAATTGATAATAATATAAAATATCATTTAAGGTTTGATTTTACTTGTTAAGGGATTCACAAAAATGTCTCATGAAGTTTATCTTGTCAACAGATTGCGGCAGGAGCTTCAGCAGTGCACTTTGAAGACCAACTGGCATCAGAAAAGAAGTGTGGTCACATGGGTGGAAAGGTTCTGGTTCCCACTCAACAGTTCATTAAGGTCTTAAATGCTGCAAGACTTGCTGGCGATGTTTTGGACATTCCAATCGTTATTGTAGGACGCACAGATGCCAACTCTGCTGCACTTGTGACATCAGATGTAGACCCTTATGACAGACCATTCCTGACAGGGGAGAGAACTCCTGAAGGGTTCTTCCGTGCCAAGACAGGGCTAGACCAAGCCATAGCTCGTGGTCTTGCCTATGCACCTTACTGTGATTTGCTGTGGTGTGAAACAAGCAAGCCAAACTTAGAGGAAGCTCGAAGATTTGCAGAGGCGATTCATGCTCGCTACCCTGGTAAATTATTGGCCTACAACTGTTCTCCCTCATTCAACTGGAAAGCTAATCTAAGCGATGCTGAGGTTGCTCTGTTTCAAAGAGAACTAGGCAAAATGGGTTATAAATTCCAGTTTGTCACTCTAGCCGGCTTTCACTCACTAAACCATGCCATGTTCAAGCTTGCACGAGATTACAGGGACAATGGCATGTCTGCCTACACGAAGATCCAAGAAGATGAGTTTGCGCAAGCCAAAAATGGTTTCACTGCTCACAAACATCAGAGAGAGGTGGGCACAGGCTATTTTGACCGCGTTTCCTTGGCAATCAGTGGTGGAACAAGCTCGACTACAGCACTGAAGGGGTCCACAGAAGAAGAGCAGTTTACACAAAAAACATCGTACGCAATTTCCAAACTGTAATATATTTAACTACATGGGGCACACAAGTATCTGTTGTTGCTATCTTCCTTTTGACTTTTTTAGAACATTTTTCTTTTGATGTTCACTTAACAACCTTTGTAATGGATATAGTCTCCCTGAATATTGCCTTTGTGTCCACAAACTTTCACTTGCTGGATGATGACGTTTGTTTCTCATTGTCTAGGCAATCAGGTTTTACTTACTAAAATGCTGGAATATGTGGAAAGGACGGTTTACTTCCTTAAAAATGTGTTTGTGGAGGGGGCTTCAAGTTACTGTGTTCTGAATGAGGCATTCACTTAATTTTGATGTTCCTATTTTTCTCTCTGATAGAAAAGTATCTTTAACAGAGACTTTTCTAATATTATTGCAAATAGTTTTTTTCTCTGAAAACAGTGTCAGAGTTTTACTTCTAATTTCTGTAGAAAACCACAGCCACTAAAACAAGTCATTAAAAACATGGACTAATACAGTCGTTAATTTTATTATTATTTTTGATGATTTGTCTAACATAGACAAGAGCAAAACGTACGTTTTTTGGTGATTATTATCACCTCAATTTTTTGCATCATTATCTGTTTCCTGGAAACTGCCCACCTACTCCTCCCCTAAGCCAACATTTTGCCCCAAGTGAGAAGCAAGTGTTAATGTTCACTTAGGGGAGGGGTAGGTGGACACTTTCCAAGAAACATGTAATGATCTGTTAAGTTATCATTAAGCTGAAACCATGACAAAAGAAAATTTATTTTAACCTGCTGTCATAATTTTTGATCATATCTCTTAACATATGGGTAATAAAAAAAATTTCTAGCTTTAGTGCTTATAATTTAAAATACCTAAAATCACAACTGTACTGAATTTGTGAATTTATTTAATATTAAGCTGAGGAAATTTATCACAGCACATGATTTCAAAGACGCATGCGAAAAGAAACTAACTGCTGCGGAGTGGGATGAAAGTGCTACTGGAAAACCCTGGCCTAGTGTGTGTGTTTTTGGATTGCAAGTTGCCTGATAACTAATAAAATAATATAATTTTCATTATAACAACAAAATCATTGGATAATGCAATTTTAGAGCTCTGGCTTAGCCATCAAGGTATATTTAACAATAATATTATTACTCGAGCCCGAATAAGCTTTGAGTCAATAGCCCATGAGGCGGAAGGCCGAATGAACTATTTACTCAGAGGCAATGAGGGCGAGAGGAATAATACTGTTTTAGTAAAATCCAACTAGCTGGTCAAAAATATTGTTATATCATTTTAATCTCACTCTGCTGCTGGTCAATACCTTTTTGCATGCAGTTACCCATTAATTTATTAAAATTTATAACAGGATGACATATTTTGTTGACAGACAAGACAGAAGTGCTTGATATAATAGCAAAAAAGAGGACTCCATTAAAGTAGACCTGTCATTAAAATGGGAATAGTCTTTTAGTAGAAAATTATACTAGGTTGGCTAGAGTATTAAAGATTATTTTTTGCACTCGCAGTTGAGTAGGTAAGGTGATTTTGTAGCCCTATTTTGCTATTTCAGGAATTGCTTAGAAAGCTTAATAAAAACGATCTATTATATTATAACCCTTACTCTAGCAAACTTAATATGTTTTCCATTCTGTTTTCTGTAAATTAATTTCTTATAATGATTTATGCTGGGAATATTATGTCTTTGGAAAGAAATTTTTTTCTTGAGGTGTTTTTTTAAGCAGAGGGTGTCAACATGGTAAACCGCAACTAAAATATAGTTTCACATATAGGTAACACAAACGACCAAATTCTAAAAACTTATCAAGACTTATTTGGTAACACAATAAAATCATTTTTCTCAAAAAGTGCTAAATATTTGGCTTCTATCATCTGTATATGGTGTGTCAAAAAAAGTAGCATCCATTTAAACAACAGTTATGACAGCAAAAAGATATTGTTTTGCACTGGACAGTTAAAACCGCCTACACCGTTTAAGTACAGTGGAGAAAAGTAATGGAGGACTTTATTTTTTACCATAAATCTTTAAAAGAACACAATCTTATGTTGCTAGTTCTTAGGTACTCTTTGAGTTGAGGACTTGTAAGTGTTGTTAATTCATTTTCCCTTTCCTCTGAGCAGGCAAACACATCAGGTCCCTCACCACACCCACCACATCCCATAATACTCTTATACCCAGGGTGCACCATGAGCTCACATGAAGAACATGGTTTACTTCCCGTGAGATTGTTTTGCATAAAAACATTCTCAAAAGCTTGTTGTAGCCTTTGAAACACCATGTATTTTCCCATGGTACTAAGTCCAATAAAATGACCGGTAAACCTGAAACATAAGAAAAAATAAAGTAGATTCCTGTAAAATTCTTGGTTTCCAAACACATGACAAGGTGGCTATATCCGTGGCATTACAAAACAATTTCTTTTTTTCAGAATTTGAATGAAAACAGAGTTTACTTCCCAGCAAAGAGAAACACTTTTGTTCTTGACCACCTACATAGATAGCTGCCATGATGATAATATAGGAAAATATGAGAAGTGGAGACCCTCATTTAAAAATCTACCATTCTGAGGAAACACTCAAAACTCCAAGACAGCACAAAACCCAGCAAAATAAGAAATTAAGACTTGCTACAACTATATGCTGGGATCATTGTTTCCTAACACCCAACATTTTTAACATTATTTTATTAAATTTTATTCAATTCTATTTTCCTTTATGAAGAAAATGGGTTTTTTGTAATGAAACTAAGAAAAGGCATTCCAATACTTTTAAACCTTCTAAACTATTATTTCACTATTTCAAACAGGAATAAATCAATAATTTGAGACTATTTCATCTTATTTAGCTTGTTTTCATCACCAGTAGATAATTACCCCCAGGTCATTACCTTATTCCATATCTGGAGAATGTTTCCTTGGCAATTAGTGCATCCTTTTCAACAGATTTAAAGAAACTCTTTGGTTGTTCATCCAACAGATCACATTTTTCTAGGTTACTTTCAACAGGTATTCTTGTCCAATTTATTCCATACTTTTTCATCAATGCAGCTAAAACATCACACACTTGTGGTATGACATGAATGTGTTGATGGCCATCTATATGTGTTGGTAAGGATCCCACCTTGTCAATGAACCACTCAAGTTGAGTCTGTATTTCCTGTTTAACCTGCATGGTCATGACTATTTAGTCAATAAGTTTTAAACAAAATAAACAAAGAAAGGGTGTTAACCAAGGAACATGCTTGGATGTTAATCATTTCATAAATCTCTCTCAATAATTGTTAACCATGATTCTTTTTTAATTTAAACAAACATGAGGGAACACCCCACCTCAGTATTTTCTACAGTAAAAATACTTTTCACTTTCATGTGCTAAGAGGATGGGAACACATGAAAAAATCTCTTTGATTAAGGATATTACTGTTTTAATTAAAAACTGAATTATTGGATAATGCAATTCTAAAGTTCTGATTGGCTTAGCCATCATGGTATATGAGCCATTATACCATGCTCTCCTAATATGGTAACTGTACGTGTTTGCTCAAAATTAAAAACAAGCTGAAAATCATTTGTTTTTGCAAATAAAGGCGGTACAAATTCTAGATATTTTGGGGCCGTTTTTAACAAAACAATTATTCCAACCACACTTGTTGGACATGAAATGATTATAGCCACCTTGGGGCTACGCATCTCATTGGCTATCTACCATCTCATATTCAATGCGCACACGTGGAATAAATGTTGATTATACCATAATAACCATTATTACAAAAACTATAAAAATTCCACAATGGCAAATACCCAAACCCTGGGCATGGCTTAGATGACAAATACCCTACTTATTGAACTCCCAACTTGATAATGTTGGTCTACAAATTTCCAAAGAAGGGGTGGGGGGTGGGCTGGGGGTGGGTGAATGAGCACACTTGGAATGACTACACCATAATTAATTTTCCTGTACTCCTCTCAAATATGTATAGTATATAACATTATTCTCGAAATAATTCGAAGAGTGGGTCAATAAAGATTGTTGCTGTTGTTGTAACCCCTTTCTAGTTCCTTCAAATTCCATTAGGAAAGGTGTATGCCCATTTTTTGTCCTCTCTTTAATAAAGGTAAAGTAAATTAGATTCTGATTAATTATATTATTAGTCATTATGAAATACCTTTTACCTAACTCTATAGTCTCTGTTAAGTTTAAATATGTAATGGTACATGTTGTATTAAAAGAAATCACCTAGAAAAGATTTTGGGTTTAGAAATAAGAGCAACATAATTATATTAAAATTTACCTCATCCAAGTCTATTTCTCCATTCTTTACAGCTTCCCTGAAGCCAAACTTTCCCCTCAAGAAACCTTCTTCGGAAGTAAGACATTTGTAATGCGTTTTTATCGGGCGACCCTCTGTAAGATTCAGGTGAATTCCAAGAGGGATCCCACATTTCTTAGACAACTGTATGGCTTCTAAGGCGCTTTCAGCGTTCACGAGCAAAGAAGCACTTGAAACTATCCCGTCTTGAAATGATTTTACTATTCCCCGGTTTCTTTGCTCACAATACCCAAAGTCGTCGGCGTTTACTACCAGCAAGCGCAAACTACCATTGTCGTCTGCCATTTTGAATTTTAATTAACAACGAGGGAAAAACTGGTCAGCAAGATTCCACAAAGAAGTTACTCCTTCATAAAACTGACCGTAAAGTGACATCTTAGATTAGTTCCAGGTTCCTGACCGGGAATTAACATGGCCGACTGTGACAGCACAGATATCCAGGGCGAGAAAGGTATAGAAGTATAGAAGTATTGAGTATTTATCTGTATACTTGTTTTTTTTCTATACCTTTTTCTTTATTTCTAACCACTTAGGAGTGAAATAAGGAAAGTTTAAATTAGACGATTAGCTTACAATATAATTGCTAAAGAAGGAATGATAGTATTCAGACACTGTTGTAATGGAATCATGACAACCGAGAAAGCAGAACATCACTTACAGACTGTTGAGTTTTGCAATGGAAGATTTTATATTTTAATCACACCCCAATAATACTATTGTTGAACTTGGGACACCTGTAGCTGATATTGAGTCAACCATAGTCATCTTGCAATAAGTAGTACCATGAGCTGGGGAGGGGGGAGGGGGGTACTCAACAAAATTGTATAGAGGTAGGTTCTGCCAGAGGTCCAACCCCTTACCTTTTATGTACCAAACGGAACCTCTTTCACTTACTTATTAAGACACTGCATATCTTTTTAATAACTGCTGTTAACGCACCATCTTTTAAACATGAATAAATCACTAAACTAAAATGTTCTTTTTTTCGTGTGCCAGTTAGCCCTTTTAGGTCCTTTCACAGACAGCAATGACAGATTTCCCCTCCTTTTCATTTTCTCCAAATAGTGAAACCCAATACCCTTTCATATGCCTGAAGCCTGAAAAAGGTACCCCTTTCTGGCGGAGCCTCCCAGTATAGGCCATAATGGGCAGTACCCTCTGGGGATCATGAGTGCCTAGGGAGTTAGCTGGGTGGGGATTACGCTGTGAATTAGTTGGGTGGGAGGTGCACGGGTGGGGCATAAAACCTTCAGTGGCAGATCCAGGGGAGGGGCACGGGGGCCCATTTTTCTTGTGCTCAATATAATGTGATACTAAGTGATTCATGTGGTTTTGCAGCTCTTACAGAAAAGAAGACAAAGGCATTGGTGTCACTAAGTGTGGGACTTATTTTTATCTTTATTGGCCTTCCCTTATGGTGGAATACAACCAAAGTTTACAGGGCTCCCCTTCCTTATGATGAAATAGAACAGTTAAACCAGTTTAAGGTATGATTACTTTTAATGTTAAATTATTTATAGCTTGACATCAATCAATTTTACTACCATCAAATTGCTATAAAATTTATTGCATTTAACAATTACTAAAATTGGATTTCTTTTAGGTTAAGTATACAGTTAACCTTAATGTAGTACTTCTTGGATCTCAAGATCCTTCTATTTTGAAACAAGAGATTGAGCTGGAGCTCAAAAAAGAAACTGGTAAGATTGTCCAAGATTTGGCGGGATGTGTGGAATAATAAGGGTCAGTTTAGTTGGTCTTATTGTACAGCTTGCTTGTGCTCTTTCCTTTCTGATTTAAACGATGGAAATATTATTCAGTTTGATTAGTTCTCAGTATTCTTTGGCACCCCTTGTGGGATAGTGTGGGGGGCTCATGATTTAGTTCCATGGTATGGGTGAGAGGAGTGTTCCAGATAAGAGATGGGTCTTGGGTCAATGACCTGACAAAGATGGCTTCCTGACCCGACAGATGACATATAAGTGTTAAGTTAAATATAGCCAAAAAAATTAGCACATGGTCTTGGTGACCCCTCAGATGGTCTACATCACCCCCTGCTCAAAAGAATTAACTGGAACGCTGTGAGAGACAGAAAAAGAGGTAAATTTAAATCAAAGAATGTCCCCCACTTTTTTGAGCAAAATTTCTTTTTAAAGGGTACAGTGCAATAGAATAGCAATGTTTGACCCCAGAGCCTCAGCTGTATGGGTACCACCTGTGGACCCCTGTGGACATCAATTCATTACACATTTTTCATAGCTATACAGAGGCTCACCCCACCTTCCAGGCCAACAGTCACAAGATTTCCATGGCTCCACATCATTGTGTTTATTATTCAAAAACAGTATTTTTTTTTGGTTGTTGTTACGTGTCCAATTTCTTTTCTTTTTTACAATATTATTGGTCAGATATATCTGCCATAACACCAGACTACAGACTAACAGTAGAAGTGAAGAACATAAAGGACGCTGCTGTGATTACAAAACTGACATCCAGCCCTTTGGAAGGTAAACCTGTAAAAAAACCTGTCCTAATTGCAATATCTTTCCTCATTATGGACGAGTGAACAACTTAATTGAAACTAAAACTAATTTTTAATCAACAGATCTGGATGATTATTTTCAAATCAGCTTTGTAAACAAGGAAAGTAAAAATTACTCTTTCTTTGTGCTTCCCCATGGAACTCCTGAGCCAGATGGCATTGATGCATATGTTGGAAAATATCTCCACTGTATCTTGTACAACAACAAAGGTAGGAATAATCTGAGCTTGGGTTTTATGCCAGATTTCATGCACTTGCACGCCTTTCTCTTGCAAACAAGATAGCCTGCTTGCAAGTTAAAAGTTAAGCTGCAGTGGTGTTCAAGTGTTTTTTGTTGATGTTCCCTAGATTCCAAGAAGCTTGCTGCAGTGATTGCAAACATTATCAAGAATGTTTTTGTTAATGAAGAAGAAGTCAATGGGGCATTTAGTTTAGTTTCAAAAAGGGAATACACCAAGGTGAACAGTGAGAAACACTAAACACTAAGTTATAATTTAGTATTAAAAATGATTGGATTAAGTACATGGTCTAAGCTACTGACACTTTTTTTTCTCCCTAGGACACTGTGGAAAGTATGAGAGCTCAGAAGTCAACAACTGGTTAGTTTGTTACCCCAGCAATTCCTTGTGTATAGCATAGTTTAACACATGTATAGACTTGAGTCTCATTCAAAAAACAAGTTGGGGGAATTTTTACTAACAAATTACACATGTTTGCATTTTCACTTAATCTCACTGGCAAAATTTAATCTAGTAAACATATTAAGTAATTAATTAGGAATTACTATTTTTTCAAGGTTTTCAGGTTTCTTTTACACTGTTGAATTCTGATCCAGATTTAGTTCTGGCAGAGTGGGATATAGAGACTGCTGTTCAAAGTAAGTGACTGTCAGTTTAAGTTAGTGCAAAACAATGTGAGTTTATAAGAGTTGTGTCAAGGTAGCCAAAGTTTTTGGTGTGGCAAAGTGAGGTCAGCTGGTAGGAATTTTTGGGTGAGGATGTGCCGCTGGGACCCCTAAACCCTTAGCCTACACATAACCTAACTTAGTTCAGCTGAATTTTGCCACCCTGTTAAATTCCCTGCCTACTTCTTGTATTTAGCTGGTTCCTTGAAATCTTAGTTACAGCCCTGATTAAACCAAAGATAAATATATTTGAACCACAACAGCTATACCAGTTTTTCCTAGTCTAGACTAATACCTTCAACCAATCAATCAGTTTCCTGGAAAATGATACCCTATTCTAAACCCAAACTCTCTGATTTCCCCCACCACCTGAATGAGTCCCATTCTCTGAATAACCAATTTTCCCTGAATGAATTGCTCAATGCATGTACATTCAAAATGTCAGTAAGCATTTTAAGGCAAAGTTTGTTTTAGGGTGGTTAGATACTCCCATCTTTCAAGTTGCTGATGACCTACTGTAAATGATCGATTAAGTGTTGCTACTGGAATAAGCGCCCCACCTTCACCAAAATAATGTAATAAGGGCCGCTCTCGAATAAGCCCAGTGGCACTGACTTGGATGTTTATGATACAGATCAAATTTGATTTCAGGCTAAAATTTTTCAACCTTGGTTGACTCTCAATTTCCTTTGTCTGCAAGGGCTAGGAGACAAAGGAAATTGAGAATCAACCTAGGTTAAATCAAAATTAACCTGAAATGAAATTTGATTTGTAACATTTACAAATAAATGCCACACCTTTGTTACAGCACTTGATATAAAGAGATATCAAAACTATATTGCTTGACAAATAAGACCATGCCCAACTCGTTAGTTCTAAGGTTTTAGTGCAGGGAAACTCTTGAAATGGGGTTCACATAACGGTTGAAGGTGTAGATATTTGTCCTTTTTTCGTGCACAACTCTGAGTTCTCTCTATATTCCCCTCAGTGTTTTACCCCTAGTTGAAATAAGCACTTGCTTTCGATTATGAGTGTCACTCCCTTAATAGGGAAAATGAAATAAGCACTGCGGTGCTCAATTGATCATTTATGGTTTTTGCTTCTTTTGTAGAGTATTTAGATCCCTTCTTGCTGAAGTTTCCTCACTTGGATATCAGTGTTGATTCCCAGGTAAGGTGGCCTAAATGTTTGTATTGTAATACGATATCTTTGTAGGGAATTTAATTTATTCTAGAAAGGATGCCCTATAGAAAAAAGTTTATCATGCATCAAATGCAAATAGGGACTGGTGTGGGCCTTCAGTTCACTTAAATTTACAATCTTGTATTTAAGTTTCAGAACTGCTTAGAATTTGATAATGATCTTGCTCATTGCACTGATTGAGTTAACAATACTTTGATCTTACAACAGGTTCTTCATTATAGTAGCATTCAAATCAATCCAAGAAAAGATGGAGAATCTTTTTATCTTCCCTATGATGACTTACCTCACATGATAAATCCAATTGAGGCAAAGCTAGGTAAACTTTACGTCTTGAATATTAGTTATAGTTGAAGCGCTGAAACAAGAATTCACACTCTATCATCATAGTTTTTGAGGAAATATGAAAGAATATTAACATAGTATCTCTTATACACATAAAGAGCAAAATTTGACCTTTTTGGATCTGTTAATGGTTTGACTGAAGAGTTTATAATAGTCAACATAACCATTCTGATGAATCAAGGTGATTCAACAATTATTTGATCAATAATTTAATCAACCAATATTTATTGATCAATCAGTCTATCAATCAGGCTATCAATCATTCAATCAGTCAACCAATCATCAGCAATAATTAATGATATTTAAATACAATGTTAATCAATCAGTCAGTCAATCAGTCAATCAACCAATCCTCAATTATTAACCAGGTAACCAACTGTCCATTATAATATGCATATGCTAGTTAACGCATTTGAATGGTGAAAAAAAAGAAGAGTCTTCTTGCAGCCTATGGAATGGTCCCTCTACACAAGGAACATGAAATAGGAGAGACTGTAGTCAATTTACCAGGAGTTTTCATTGAAAATATTATTTTGTTCATTTACAGGCTCACATATTTCATTGTATCCAAGCTTGAATTTTGTTGTTTACGTGCCTTCTCAGAGACATACACCTCTTTATATGAGAACCAAGGATGGTGAGAGATTAATATCACAGTGGATAGAGGTTGATATGAAACCCGTTATGAACACATTCCTGGCTCAACTGAAGCTGTTACTGGGAGTTAAGCCTGTGGTGAGGATTCAACTTTTTCCATTCTCACAGACTTTTATGCTTTTTTACAGCTTACACCCCAAAAACTAGTCTCCCACATGGCCATTTCTGTCTGCTCATGCATTGTCCTCCATGATGATTGTCTTGTCTTGTTCCTTTGTTCCCTAAACCTTAATTCCCTTGTTCCTTATTCCTCTGTTATCTTATTCCTTTGTTTGATGAGGAAAATCACCTACAAGAGGAGGCTTCTTAAAAAGCAATAAGTTTGATTATAGTCTTTTTATATTAGAGTTTTAGGTCTCCTATCAGTCTAAATAGACGGGTCTTTGAAACAGATTAAAAATGCGACTGAATGTTCTCTTCTGTTTTCTAGCTTAAGATAATCCAACCTATGTCATTTTGATTCATTCCCGTAATAGGTTATTCATTTCCAAAAACGATTTATGTTGTCTCTTTTTCCAATTTTTTTATTTCGTTTTGCTCTAAATCAATACAATAAATTTTATTGTAATCATTATTTCCTTTTTTAAAGAAACTTGTAGATGGCGTTGAAGCAAGATTCCCAAAAGATGTTGGAATAACACAGTGGGTAATGACCATAAATGTAGTTGTTTCTTTGTTAACCCTTCAAGTCCCAAGAGTGACCACCATAAATTTTCTCCTAACAATCTCCATTCTTTGTCAAAAAATAAGGTTATGAGAATTAATAAAATGATCAGCAAAGGGAAAATTCTTTGATCTTTTGTTAAATTCTCTCAGTTAATTTTGTAAGGAAATGTATGGATATCAGTTTGGAGAATTTGTATGTGGACAATTAAGCGTAGACTGTAAGCAGTCTCTTCTTTGTCGGATTTAGCAAGGGAATTGCTCGCGCGCGCCAGTGTCGAAGCCACGAGACCGGGGAAACGAGGGTCGCAGCTTCTCCTGTCTTGCGCCTTCCGTCTCGCGCATGGTCATTTTTGTGTCTCACGCAGATGGACTGAGAAAAAAATTACTTCTCTTAGTCTAAACTTAGCCTCTAGTTATGGTTAAGGCTTTACTGTACTCACAGGAACAGGAGTCGGTGATGAGACAGAAAACAATGGAATATCTTGCCACCTCCACCATCACGCTAACATCCCTCGCCCAGCTGTTGGGAAAAATCAGTAACATGGTGATTAATGATCACATTCAACAGCAAGTTCAACAGGCGCTTCATGCAGTCCATCAGGTGTGACTTATATCCTATCATATTCACCTGAATGTTTTGGATCATTATACGTTTCTGGGAATTTGCCCACCTACCCCTCCCCTGAGTCAACATTTTGCCCTAAGCGAGAAGTAAGTGTTAATGTTGGCTTCCAGGTAAGTTGGCAATTTCCCAGAAACGTATAATGATTTTACTGTAGAATTTTATAACGCAAAGGTTTTATGTACCCTCGTATCGGAAAATTTGGTGAAACTTCTCCTTTGGGATACCCCTATTCAGGGGACACTTTAATTGAAGGGACCAAAATTTTGTTCACGAATAAAGGGAAATTAATTCTATTTGTATTAGTGAGTACTGTTGAAGGGATTCCTCGATTTAGGGGAGACATGTGCTGATCCTGAGTTAGTCCCCTGAACGAAGGCTCGTCTGTGTAATCTTTGTATCAGCCACCTCTATTGAATGGACACCCCTATGAGGGGAACACTTTTTCTGGTCTTTAGTATATCCCCTAAATAGAGGCTCCTCTCATGGGGAAAATCCAAGCGCGCAAGTCAAATTTTTCAAAACTCTTTGCAAAAGGTTTTCTTTAACTGGCTACGAAAATGTAACTTTGTGGTCTTCTTTTTTGTTCTTATTTACTTTTTCCGCCACTTGATTCATTGCATCCTCCAAATCTCTTGCTCCCTGCCAAGAAAAGAAACCCTCGCCTGCTTGCGAGGGAGATTGGGGTTTTATACTCAGTCCTAATGAGTGTGAACATTTATCTTCACCTTTTGTGGTAGGTTTTTGGTTGTTGAGGACGGATGCAATCAGCAAATGACTGAAAAGACATTGAACAATACCCACATCACACCATGCACAGCAGCTAAAGAAGATCTTACACCGGACGATTCGACGGAACGATTTTTAGCGCAACACATCGTTGCAATGTTGGAACAATGTTGTAAGCATTCGAAACAATGTCGCAACAATATTGCAACGCTGTGTTGCGCTAAAAATGGTCGTTGCGAATCGTCTAGTGTAACATCACCTTAACTTTCAACAGTTTCCGCTACACCAAGAAACACCCGGGGAGACACCCCCACATCGTAAAATCCCTTGTTAAGCCCTGGGCTTATATAACTTCATAAGGGGTTTTGGGTGGGCTTATATACAGGGAGCGTATATCCGGCGGGGGGGTTGGGGGGGGGGGGCTTTAACCTCTTTTATCTTTATCTTCATTTTTCTAAATTCAAATATAACTGAACGTTTTCTTTACAAACGCTTTTTTTTGTAGTCTGTAACAGCCCTTGAGCATGGAAATCTGACCGTAGCCGTTCTAACTGCCAAGACAGCCATCAAATCTTCGGGTCAGTAGAAATCTTTTTTTTCCTTTTTTTTGTACGAAGTAGCGCCGAACGCCCAAACTTCTGCCCTCGCTCCATTTATGTGTGTTCTTTTACAAACTACCAGAAGTAGATATTACTGGTTACAGGAATGCCATCTCGGGTGTTATCCATATATAATCTGTTAGTGACAACGTTGTTCTTCACTTTCTTTTAAGATATGGTAAGTTCCATCCATTCTAGCTTGCGTAGCAAGCTCTTCCTTTTGGTTTCGGATCAAAGAAAGACCGAGGAACGGGATTTTCGGTTTTGGCCGCGCGATAAATGAACCGAGAGCCATTTTTCGCGCGGTTTTTGGCTCTCGTTCGTCGTTCTTTGCTCCTAAACCGCACGGAAACGCTTGCTACGCAGGCTACATCCATTCCCATATGATAAGATTCTAGTTAAATGATAAGCGATACAATGACGTTACATTCTCACTTGTAATCAACTCAGTGTCCTTCTTTCTTTCAGAGGAAGCATTTTTTGACCCATCAATACTTGAGCTTTTGTATTTCCCTGACGATCAAAAGTAAGCAGTTCTATTTTTAAGTCTTGTTTTATTATTGTTACCAATGATTAGAGTGATTTTACTTGACCCATGAAGCAGGTACTAACAACTAGAGCAAAGCTCCAAGTAAACAAAAGTAGACTGTGGAATTAGTGTATAACAGTGCGTAACTACCACCTATTTCACGGGTTAAGTACAATCCCTGACTCTAACGGTAATATGGTTTATTTCTTTTTCCTCGCAGGTACGCCATCTACATTCCTCTCTTTCTCCCCATCAGCCTTCCAGTTTTGTTGTCTCTTAGACAAGCAATAATTTGGTACAGAGGAAAAGACGATGAAGACAGAAAAGACGAGAAAAAAGACAAGCAAGAATAACTTATTGAAGATGTCATGGTCGTCTCCGGATAAAACAAGATGAATTTGATATCTGAAAGCCGCTTGTTTTTGCCCATATCGTGTGACCATTTTGTTTTCTCGATCAAGAAACTTTGCTTCGCATTGTCCCTGACGGATAGTAAAGAACCCTTTGGACGAGCTTGCACGGGTACTTGCGACAAACTGCTAGGATAACCGTGAGATGGACTATTTTCCCACCTACAAGGGGTAGCAATTCTCGTAATAAGTCCCGTTAGTTTTGGGATCGTTTGTGCGTTTTATGGTGACCATGCAATTTCCGTACGCGATGCGTTGGACAGGATGAGTCGTGAAAACCAGATAAACCAGTCATGTAAGGCTACGTTGACACTGTGCGGGATAGCTTTTGCACCAGAACGAAAATTATACCGGATAGGGCTTCTGTTCACACACGAGAACGGTAATTTCGGCGCGATTTCTGTAACGGAGCGAAGCTGCACCGCGTCGATCTTGAGAGTGAAGGATCGCCTTTCGGATAAGTGGTGTTCATACTTTACCGGATAGATTTCTTGTCGGCATAAAAGGCTATCCGGTTTTGAGTGAACGTAGTCTAAATCTCTGTTGATGAGACACTCGATTTGAGCCACTAATCCATCACGTCATGGTGTCCTTACTGCAACCAAAGAAGGGAGAACAATGAGGTATTAAGCTGATACGATTCCATTCTATTACAGTTTAAGTGTCGGCCTGTTCGCGAATAGACCTACAGTTCAAGCTTGGTCAATGGCGCATATTCATATTATATGCCATTTCCGAGCTGCCGCAAGCCTCTGTTTCAAAGTGAGGCTAAGTGCGACGCTGTTGATATGAAAAATGATTTTTTTTATTCTCATGCAACTTAAACAAAACTCATTTTCACAAGAAAGTTGTTGTACTTAGCCTCGTTTTGCAGAATGATAGTTTTTGGAACTCGGAAATGGACAATAAACTTTTTTACGAGAATATTGATGCAGAGAATGGGAAAAACTAAAGAACATTCTAAGATGAAGGAGATAGCTCAGGGTGAAGTTTAGTTGAAAACAGTGTATTCTAGCCGTTTAAACATGAGCAATATAGAGAAATTGTCACAACCAGTGCATTAAATGTTTCCTGAACATTAGTATATGCTGTGTTGTTTGTCGTTTAACTTAACCTAATTTCTGATCACGTATACACCACCCCCCAATGAAAAACATTCATTTGCGGCTCTGTCTCAGGGCAAGCTCTTGCTCAGGGATGTTACAAAACGGTGAATAGGGAAAAGGAAAATGAAAAATGGGAACAAAATTTCAGTAACTCTGTCAGTTTTTTCCTTGACCATTACCGTTTCGTTTCCATTTTTTCATCTTCCCGTTCCCCGTTTGCGTTTTAATAATATTATTGGCTCAGGCTCATCTCAAAATTGGACGGTGTTGAAAAGTAAACAAAACAAAAGAAACTAACAAACAAGTAAATAAAATGCAAAACAAACGACAAGAGAAACAAAGAGGGTTGCTCTTTTCTTGACTTATTACAGTGTAAGAACGATGAGACCTGGGATCAAAAGTGGCCTACTTTCAAAGCGAGGCTAAGTGTAAAACGTTCTTGTGATAATGAGTTTCCTTTGAATGAGAATAAAATATCATTTTCTCATCAATGACTTCGCACCCAGGAAGGGTTCATAATTTATGTAGATGGGGCTGTGGTGATTTTAGCATTTTTCAGGTTCAAATTTTAGTAGGTATCACCCTATTATTTGGTGTGTTTTTTCGTGCCCTCGCTCATCTATAGGCAAAATACATGACCTCTCTCCGCCTCTCATTATTTCTACACCTAAATTAGTAGTTTGACACAATTTCTTATCCATAAGGATTGTTTTGAACTGTTTTTGTCTGCTCATTTTCTATTTTTTTAAAATTCTCAACTTGAATCTGGCGTTTGCCGTTTGCCGTATACGAGACGCTTAAACTCCCTAATGCCTCCTTTTTAGTCATTTTGGCAGAAATACTCGATAGCCCCGGCCCCCTTAAACCTAACCAGAAAAACTCATGGCCCTCCCAAAAAAACATCATAGCCCCCTCTACATAAATTATGAATTCTCCCTTAGCCTTGCATTCAAATAAAGGCTTGGGGAAACTCGGAAATGCACTATTCAAGATCACGCCGATAAACCCATAGAAAGTGTGGTCTATTGGTCTACTGACTGGAAGAATGAACTTTTCACCCGGGAATGTTCTCGAACTTGTCTCACGCTGGACGCCTGGGTTAGAAATATAATGTGAACAAACTACTGACTTTGTTGGAGTGTTTGACCTAAGCGACTGGTTTGTGTTCCATATAAAATCTCTTAGCGAATGGAACGTGTTATAAATCAGCGACTAAGTAAATTTTCTCAGTCCGATCTAGCTTTCTCCGTAAATAACTTAAACAAAAACATTAGCTCGACTGTTGTCGGGTCTGCGAAAGAAAGATTACATCGTGTTTCAGATACAAATGCACAGTTTTAAGTCAAGGAAAAGCAGAAAATGTTTTTTCTTTGATTGTTGTCAGAACTAACAAAACCCATGAATTATCCAAAAGGATAAGCTCGGGAATGGGTTTATCTGACAAACGCAAAGGCATTTATTACTGCTCAGGTTCGAAGAACATTGCCGAGTGGAGACTCCGATTAAAAAGATGAGCACAAACATCGGTTCTCACACAAAGCTGGTACGAGCCAGGGTTAGGAACGGGATTGTTGTAGCTTTGGCCCTCGCCAGAAATAGCGCCTTCAAGGAAATCGTAAGGCTTCAATTGTTTTCTTAATGAACGATCATGCGATCCAAGACGAAAATTCCGGACCACCTCCTCCCATTTCGGCACGCTCTCGCCACTCAGAAACAGACCATTTCTTTCATCTCTCAATTTGGTCTTTTCCACTTTAAATACCAGAACAGCACAACAAGGACGTCTAACTCGCGCCCACCGCACGCCTAAAACGTCATTTAAGTCTCTAGCGAGATAAAACCCACCGCCATCACTGAAGTCCTTCTTTTCCTCTCCTATTTCCACGTCGATACCTTCATTTGTTATTTTTTCAGCGCTGTTTTGGTTTGTCCCATGGAAGAAAATTTCACAGTTAGCATTTCGCAGTGAATAGGGGAAATTGTCAACGCCATACTGAGTAGCGTAAATCCTGTCACGCCTGCCCTTTCCATTGACATAAATTACATTGACAGCCTGTTTTCTTTCGCCCGCAGGAGGAAGAGAGAACCATTTATTGTCAGTTCTTTTCTCTCCAAACAGAAGAGGAGCACACTTGTTTATGATTTCACTGCTTCGAAGTCTATTTAGGCTTGAGCTTAATAGGCTGAGCGCTTCACAAGTCACCAAGTTTTCGATCCTAGGTCCTGTTAACAATCCCAGAATTGTTAGCAGAGTCTCTCCTGTTAGTTGACAATCACTTCTATGTTCCTCCTTCAACCAAAAACTCCATAAGTAGCCAGCAGTGCGAAAATCCAGTTCAACAGTCATCTTCCTTTAAGCACTGTTACGCATTCTCTATTTTCCAATTGCCCATAATACACTCTGTTTGCCCCCCAAATTCTGCATAAACCATTGTTTTTAAATGCTCCTGGGAGTATTGCATTTTCCCAAGAGCATTTTAAGACAATAAGTTATGCAAAATTTGGGGGGCGAACAGAGTGTATTATGGGCAATTGGAAAATAGTCAATGGTATCACATAATATAACATTTGTTGTATAAAAACTTTCCAATTCTAGGAAGTGATTTAAATTAACCTTTTGAAGAGTATTAAGTTTGACAGAAGGAAGTATATATCGAGTCCTTATAACTCCATAACATCGCTCCAACTAACAAAAACTGTTTCGGAATGTTTTTTATTCTATTCTTTGTTCTCGGCTAAAATCATGTTCACGATGACTTTGAAGGTTGTCCCAGTTTTAAAACAATAGGTGGTTTTCATGCAATCTCGGGAGACACAAATAACAATGGTGAAATGAACAAATGCTGGTGGACAAACAAAGGGAGCTAATGAGCAATCTTTTGTTTACCGTCCACCAGCATGGCGGCGATGANTCTATTTTCCAATTGCCCATAATACACTCTGTTTGCCCCCCAAATTCTGCATAAACCATTGTTTTTAAATGCTCCTGGGAGTATTGCATTTTCCCAAGAGCATTTTAAGACAATAAGTTATGCAAAATTTGGGGGGCGAACAGAGTGTATTATGGGCAATTGGAAAATAGTCAATGGTATCACATAATATAACATTTGTTGTATAAAAACTTTCCAATTCTAGGAAGTGATTTAAATTAACCTTTTGAAGAGTATTAAGTTTGACAGAAGGAAGTATATATCGAGTCCTTATAACTCCATAACATCGCTCCAACTAACAAAAACTGTTTCGGAATGTTTTTTATTCTATTCTTTGTTCTCGGCTAAAATCATGTTCACGATGACTTTGAAGGTTGTCCCAGTTTTAAAACAATAGGTGGTTTTCATGCAATCTCGGGAGACACAAATAACAATGGTGAAATGAACAAATGCTGGTGGACAAACAAAGGGAGCTAATGAGCAATCTTTTGTTTACCGTCCACCAGCATGGCGGCGATGACGTAACGTGAAAACCACCTCTGAAGGCTTTGTTAAACAAGATGGGAAAGAACAAAATTAGAATGTGAGGAGACTTTGATACAGATTGAATTAAAACGCTTACTCAATACTGCAACCTTATTGCACAGTTACAAATAATGATAACAAAAACGAATGACAAAATCGGATATTCTCCTCACTTTTGTTCAGAGATCTTTTCTAAGTGAGTCTAGAGCTCATTGGCCTCGGCATGTTTACAAAATTCCGAATTGTTTAGATAGCAGAATATCGCACACGTTAATTGACACTTCAGCTGCTGATTGGATGTTATATTTCGCCTGATTGCACTTACAAATGTCTTAAATAAATTATTACCCTTACGTCAAATTCCCATCTTCTTTTGTTTTTTAAATCTTGTTATCATACACTCCCATACCGAAAGACAAAAGAAAATGAAATACGGTCGAAGGTGGGGTGTCTGTAAAACACGTACCGGATACCTGTGGATGGCGGATGCGGATGCGTATGGAAAAATGCGGATAACAAAATGCGGATACAAAAAAATGCGCATACTAACAATAATAAAACATAAGTAAGAAGGAAAAAAACGAGAAACGCGGGTGGCAAGAAAACAAACAAACAAAAAAAACATATAAAAAAGAAAGAAATATTTCTTTCAGGTCGCTGTCACATGGTTGGGCCCTTCATGTATAGAACGCATTGTCAGTAGTTGGCACAGGTTACCCCAGGCTTTTTCTCAGTTCTTTGAGCCTTGTAATTCCTTTCATTAATGTCACAGAAACAAGGACGCTCGTTCCTCCTCCTTAAATGTACGCACGCTCTGGCGCACTTCTCCTTTGAGCACAAATAATTATGAGACCTGTACGCAGGGTGCCAGCGCAAAAAAACCGGCCAGCAAAGTTTTGCCTATTATCCGCTTGCTTCGTTATTCTTCCCTTTTCCCAACAGGGAGCCAGTGGTCCCTACAGCCTCAGGCCACAATGCAGAATATTACTAGATCAGTATTCAAACGTGGCGTAATTCACGAAGCATTCTGTCCTTACATTCGAAAGTTAGCGCCATTTTTTGACCGTTACTTTCGGAATTGAATGGTTATCTTCTACCAATCAAAAACGGAACTGTATCGTACGTATTTGTTTATGGACCAATCAGAATGAACTACACGAGCTCCATTAACGAAATTACTAGGAACGCACGTAGACCAACATCTCTGCTGGGACGAAAACATCAAGCAAGTATCGTCGTCTTGTTATGCTACTGTGGCAGTTTTGAAAAAACTAAAAAAGATTTTACCTTTCAAAATCAGGAAAACACTTGTTCAAGCTCTAGTACCTTCTAAACTTTACTTCAGTGGTATCGTCTATCATAATCTACCGAATTATCTGGATAACCGTCTTCAAAGAATACGGAAAGCTTCAGCAAGTTTCGTTTTGGGACATTATGCAATCACCGATGACATCACCAAGCTCAAATGGTTAGTACATAGCCCTGCATGGCCAAGCTATCTCAAAGTATACATCATTAAACATATGAGGACTCTACGATCTAGTTCAGGAATATCCTTAGTTACACCAATTGAATCCGGTACATTCCAATATGAAGCTGCTAAGCTCTTCAACAAACTAGTTAGAAACTGCTGAGATTTTAGCACATTTCCTAAAGCGACATTTAACTATTTGATGGAGAGAATTAACAAAACATGACTTTACATAGCAGAATTATATTTTCATTCATACAGGGATAAATTTTTTAGGGGGGGGGGGGCATCTATCACATAGTTTTTAGAATAGTCTCATTTGTAAATTTTTATCACATTTCCTAAAGCCACATTTAACTGTTTGTGGAATAAAATTAAAAAAAGACTAGTGTACATGTGGTAATTTTATTTTTCTTCATACCTGGATAAATTTTTTGTGGGGGGGGGTGGCATCTATCACATAGTTTTTAGAATAGTCTCATTTGTAAATTCCTAGTAATGTAATATTTAATTAGTCTCTTGTTTTGTTTTTGTCGTTACAATTACTTTCTTTTTATCATTTCCACATGAAGAGCCACCTTTGTGGAAATACTGGAAATAAAGTCGTTATTCGTATTCTTATTGTTCTCATTCTTCTTGGTAGTGGTAGTGGTAGTGGTAGTGGTGGTGGTAGTAGTAGTTGTAGTTATAGTAGTACATAATCTGGCCTCAAAAAGATCCGATCAGGGTTACTTTTTGGTTTGGCACCAGTCTTTTGCCAGGCAACTCATTCCACCCACCATACATAAAACCAACCCAGGTAATCCAAGTTCCCACCGCGCTAAGAAATCCGTGTTGGAAGTAAATAGATAAACAAATAAATTTAATTTAAGTAATAACTGAATATAGAAATGATCATAGTAATAATACGGAGAGGAGGAGGCCTTTTTTAAAATCTAATTTCCCTTAGGATACCCAGCTGTGAAAACACTCAATTTTATGTTTGCAGGGTTTTCAAGATATTAGTAGTTTTGAAAGCAGTGCAAATACACTATCAAAGAACAAAACAAACTGGATTGGTTTGCGACCTGGGAGTCGAAGTTTTTGAAATCAAAACAGTTACTTCTAATTCGGTCAAAAATGAAACAACATGAAAATGGCAAACAACTTAGTCAAATATTACGTACTCTTAGAACACATGAGGATCCGCAAGCGACTTTTTTTTGCGATCAGCATGATTTCTTAGTTGCTACGGACGCTTTGTTTTCAAAAGGTGACTAGAGAATTTCCTGCTGTGGGAATTTAATTAGTAAATTAATTTCTGGCCAAAAAACGTAATCCGATAAGGTGTCAACACTGTCATATGCCACTACAGTAGTAATCCTTTTGAAAGCTCAGAACGTGTTCAAGATAGTAAAAACCCGATGAAAATACAACGCTATCAATTATTAAAATAAAAATAAAGCAAAATAAAGTGTATGCCTTGCAAAAACTTCAAGTTGCGTTCTAGATAATTTTTTGCCAGATTTCAGCACGAGGAATCCACGCGCCAAGAAGCGCGGACAGCAATGATCAAAAATATATTTTCCCTTTCAAACTGAAATGCTTCAAGGCTAAACGAGATTTTGCCTATTGCGACTGGCCGGTGCTATCTCACGATAGCCGATCTGTAGCGAAGACACGGAGTCCAGTGTAAATATTGAGCCGCTTTTTAGGCATGCGGTTCCCTGCAGTCTTTATTGCTGCCGGGCATCAGCCGGCAGCACCCATATTCTTGAGCGATTTGAGATTTTTTGGTTCGATGGTTGGATGGTTGGATGGTTGGATGGTTCCATGGTTCAATCAGCAGGTTATTCTTTCATGTTACGCTTACGCCAAATAGATATATCCTTCATGTAATAGTAATAGATTGTTTATCTCCCTGTATACCCTGTATACCCTGTATACCTATGTATACCTTGTATACTCATGTATACCCTGTATACCCATGTATACCCTGTATACCCATGTATACCCTGTATACCTATGTATACCCTG